CCTTGCTATTGATAAAATTTATGTTTAAATCATGATTCCCTGCCATGTGGTTGTCCATCTTCCTGATGGGCTGTTGCTCTTGCACTTCTGGCAACAGTTTGGCGTGGCAAGCTGGGGAGAGGGGTAAGTTAGACCTCTAACCTCTAACCTCTAACTGCAGGGACCAGCACTCACCCATGCAACAAAGGTTCTTTAGTTTATTTATTTTTTATTATTTTATTTTATTTTAATTTTTGGGTCACACCCGGCAATGCACAGGGTTTACTCCTGGCTGTGCTCAGGGGACCATATGGGATGACAGGAACTGAACCCTGGTCAGTCACATGCAAGGCAAATACGCTAATTATTATACTATTGCTCCAGCCCAACACCAAACGTTTTAGTTTTACAGATTTTTGTTTTTGGGCCACACCTGCTAGGAGTTATTCCTGGCTTAGGGCTCAGGGGTTGCTCCCTGCAGTGCTCACAGGGGGACCTTGTGGTGCTGGGATCAAACCCAAGCTTCCTGCTTGCAAAACTTAGTGCTCCAGTCCCTTTGAGATGACTCTCCATTCCCGTGCACCAAAGGTTTGAAATATCTTTGTAAATAGAGGATGTTTGATCCAATCCTGTGCTCCTATGAAGGTGTAAGGGCAGATGCTGGACCTTGAGACTAAGAAACAGAAGTGACCAAGCCGGCCATGGCCATCATCTTGGTCATTCACAGGTCAGAACTATTCTGGTTATAGTCATGTGTCTAACTTTCTTAGTTTTTTTTTTTTTTTTTTGCTTTTTGGGTCACACCCGGCGATGCTCAGGGGTTACTCCTGGCTTTGCACTCAGGAATCACTCCTGGCGGTGCTCAGGGGACCATATGGGATGCTGGGAATCGAACCTGGGTCGGCTGCGTGCAAGGCAAACGCCTACTCACTGTGCTATTGCTCCAGCCCCTTTTTTTCTTTTTGGGTCACACTCGATGCACAGGGGATACTCCTGGCAATGCACTCAGGAGTTACTCCTGGCGGTGCTCAGGGGACCATATGGGATGCTGGGAATCGAACCCAGGTCGGCCGCGTGCAAGATAAATGCCTACTCGCTGTGTTAGCACTCCAACCCCCATGCAGCTAACTTTCAACTGCACCCTGAAGACAGAAGGCCTGCAAACACTAAGCAAGGGTGCCTCGTGTCTGGCATGGGGGGTCGGGAGAGGGGGAAAGTAGCAATGATGCCCCTCCCAAGGAAAGCCTCTGGATGGAGAGGTGCCCCTGTGGGGGAGGAGCCGGGGCTGGCTCCAGAAGGCTGGGCACCATGAAGGCGGGAGCAGTTAGGAGCTACCAGGTGCATGTCAACTGTCACTGCATCTCTCCGCCCTGGAGTCTCTCATGTGTAGAGTTCGCATTTCCTTTAAAAAAAAAAAGAGAGAGAAAAACCAGCAAAAAACCAGAGAAACATCTGTAAGTTCAACTAGCCTCTTTCCACCTGGCCCTGTGCTCTCTCTACTGAGTGTAGACTTCGAGAAACATGTGCAGTCTCGGAAAAGCGGTGGGTGCTGGGTGCAGCTTATTGTGGCTTGGACATGGAGGTTCTTGGGGCCTGAAATCCCTCATGCTGGTGTGAGAGCTTTCATCTCTAGGTATCTTTGGTGTCATCCAGAGAACAGGAGAGATGCAACTATACCCAGCAACAGGAGGCTTGAGCAGGAGAGCCGGGTAAAGGCCAAAACCATGGGGCACACAGAACCAGTGGGGAAGGGATCAGGGGGCCTGGCCTAACGGAGGCTTTTGAATGAGAAGGGAAGGGGAGAAGGGGTTCAGAGGAGCTTCTCACCCTATCTAATGTAGTCTCTGAATTTCTGTAGTAAATCACCTTGTATTTCTCACCCCTTGTGTGAGGTCAGAAGTTGATTTAATTCATTTTCCTGCTTTGGGAGCTCCAGCATGGTGCCTTGTGTCAAGCTGGTACTTAGAAACTAGAGGACCCTGGAGCTGGGCTATTAGCTTTGGGATTCTGAGTTTTCCTCTGAAATGTGTTTATAAGTAGTTGTTTAGGAGCAGCAAAGGTGCTGTTCAGAATAGGAGGGATAGAAACAGGAATTCTAACTCTTGCATTTTTGAGTGAGCAGACAAAGAAAGAAAATGGGAAGGGGCTAGGGAGGTAGCTCAGTAGTAGGGCGCTTGCTTTGCAGGGATGAAGCCCGGGGTTCAATTGTCAGCACAGCTGAAAACATGTTTGTTTCCCTACTGGGAAAAGAAGGGGAGACCTAGTCTCCCGAGGTCCTTATGAGCAGGGTGAAGAGGGCGCTGTGCACAGCCTTCCAGGGAAGGCACACACTGCTGCAGCTCTGTAGCTGGCCACACTATCAATGGGGAGCTTTATGGCCACTCCAGCATCAGAATTCTGCCCACAGACATTTCTATTTCATGGGTACTGTATATGCCCTTTCTTTTTTTAGCTTCCCATGCAGGGCCTAGGGGGCCTGATTCAGTGCCTGAACTAGGGATGCAGCTGCTCAGGACCATGGCACAAGCCATGGGTCTATACCAGGCGGTGCTTGGGAAGCCAGGGTGTGCTGGACATGAGAGGCATGCATCCCTAGGGGCCAGAGAGATAGTACAGTGGGTAAGGCACTTGCCTTGCATTAGGCAGACTCAGGTTCAATCCCCAGCATCCCATATGATCCCCTGAATGCTGACCACCAGGAGGAACTCCTAAGTGCAGAGTCAGATTAAGCCCTAAGCACAGTGAGGTGTGGCTGCCCCCCCTCCCCCCCAAAAAAGGAGAGTCATGCACTCTAGCCTTTTGAGTCATCTCTCCACCTTATTTTTAAAATTTTTATTTTTATAAAATAGTTTACAATATTTGACTACATTTAATATTTGAACACCAATTCCACCATCACTATATTTTGGATGATTCCATATCAAACCCCAACCCCTGCCCCAAAGCAGAACTGAAATATTTTATTTTGTATTGTTTGTTATGTTTTATTATAAACCACTTAAAATGAACCAAAAAACTTTCCTTAGAGGAGAGTGTGTGACGATTCTTGTATTTCACTCAGAGGCCAGTAAGCCCTTCTATAAGAGATTACTAATATGTTGTTAAGGGTTGAATCATGTTCCCCACCTCATTTTAAAGCTTGAGTTTTTAGCATGACTGTTATTTTTATTAGTTTTGGGCCACATCCAGAAGGGTTTACTCCTGGTGGTGCTCAGGTTAAACTGGTGGTACCAGGGATCCATTTTTTTTGTTCTTTTGGAGTTTAAAGCAGCATGGTAACAAGTGTTAATGTTTGTGGCTCTACATACACATATAATTAATGTACAGTGTTTGATACATACTATACTTTTACCATCACTTTTACGAAAGTCCTCAGAACTCTGGCCTCTGTTCTTATAACATTTCTAATCTTCCTCTTCCTCCCCAAGACCTCTCCTCCTCCTTGGTAGCCTGTTTTGTAGTCAAAGTCCAAGGGTTTGTTATCATTGTTTTATTTCTCTACATACCATAGAAAAGGGAGGTGATCTGGCATTTGTCCTTCACCCTCTTATTTTGCTTACCAAGATGCCCTCCAATTATATCCAGGTTGCAGCAAACTATAAGGTTTCCTCTTTTCTCAGTTGTGTAGTATTCCATGATGTATATATCACAACTTCTTTACCCACTCATTTACTGGATATTTGGGTTGTTTCCATATCTCGGATAAGCACTACAATAAATGTAGGTGTGCATATATCTTTTTGAATTAATGTCTTTTGTGTTCTTGCTCTAGATGTTAGAAATTGCTGGGTCATGTGGAAGTTCTTTATTTCCATTTCTGCAGAGTCTGCGCACTGTTTTCCATAGAGGCTGAGCCAGATAAAATTCCACCAACAATGAATGAGCATTTCTTTTCCACCATATTCCTGCCAACAATGGTGTTTTCATCTTTTTGGGGTATGTCTAGTCTCACTTCTTACTGGTGCGAGATGTTGTCTTAATTTTAATTTCTCTGATAATAAATGTGATGAGCACTATTTCATATGCCTATTGGCCATCTGTATGTTTTGTTTGAGAAAGCATCTATCTTCTCTCCCCAGTTTTTGATGGGATCATTAGTTGTTCTTTGTTGTTGAGCTCTCTGAGTGCTTTGTGTATCTTGGATATTAGCCTGTTATCCATGCATGGTCTGCAAAGTTTTTTCTGATTCAGTAGAGTGTCTTTTGAAATTTGGCTTGTTTGTACTTTTTGTTTGGCTTGTTTATACATTTTACCACTTTTTACCACCTAACAACAAGTACAGCATTTAAGGAACTCTTTAAGAATGTCTTTCAGTTTACAATTCAAACATAATTCAAGAAAGCAGTTTCAGTTCTAATGTCAATGATAAGTAACACTAACACAGTAAAGCATATGCTAAACATCAATGATGTATGCTTTAAAACCACGGGATCCAACTTTTAAACACCTGAGGCTTGTTTGGGCAGTTAATATGCATAAAGTGGAGCCAGGAAAGCCTCTTGAACAGATGATGCTGGGAAAACTGGATAGCCACATACAGAAATTGGATTCCTATCTCACATTATACATAAAGTTAATTTAGAATCCACCCATGACTTAGAATTTAGGCTAGAATCCATAAAAACGCATGGAGGAAAGAGTAGGCAGCCAAGGTACAGACCTGAGGTTGTCTTCAATGTTTCAACTACACTGGCAAAGAAAACAAAATCAACAATAAGCAAATGGAACTACATTTATTTTTTTTTAAACCATTTAAATCACTTTTTTTGTTTGCTTGTTTTGCGACCATACTTGGTTGTGCTCAGAGATTTCTCCTAGCAATGTGCTCAGAGGGCCAAACCCAGGTCTGTTGCACGTAAGGCAAGTGCCTACCTCCCTCTGGCCCACATTCAAACAACTTTTAAGAGCACAGCTGAGCGGCAGTAAATATATGTAGTGCTGTGCAACCATCACCACATGCCCCTAGTCATAACAACAAAGAAAGGGAAAGGAAGGGGTTAAAAAAAGGAAACATATTCTTGTAAAATGGAAAAACTTTAATTGTTTAAAGCAAAGGCACAAGTAAACATCTTGGATTATTATACAATGTTATAAAAAGAAATTCCAAGAGCAAATGTAATACATTATAATTTTGCTTCTTTACAGTTATTCTAATGTATTATTTTATCATATCCTTCGAGTAAATGGATGTGCTGTAAAATCTTGGGTTACAAGAATCCATTCCACTTTTACCAGAAGTTTTAATTTTGATGGAAAGAATTAAATTAAAATGTAGAAACATGTTAGGTATGGTACTACACAACAGCAAACTGACCTTGGAAGGGCCTTATCAAAACACAATTCTCTTAATTTCCTTTAAATTTAAAAATTATAGTGCATTATGTAAAAGACGTAAAAGAGTAAAGAATGAACCAAATAATTTGTTATGATGTTAAAAATAAAAAATTAAAAAAGGTCTAGACCTTGTTTTCAGTCAAAGGCACTAACTGGAGAGTAACCAGCTGCATTATTTTCAAGCACTAAGAAAAGTTATTCCAAAATTGCTGGCCAGTCGGTTGGGACTTGATGTCTCAATTCATCATCAGACTCTGAGGGCCTAATACTATGAAAAAAGAATAGAGGCTGTATAGTTATATCTTGACTTTATTTTCCAGGAAGATTATAAATCCTTCCTAAAAGTATTTAAATTAAAGATCTTGAATGTGAATATTAAGTCTCATTTAATAGTTCAAATGTCAACCAATTTTTACCACTTTTTACCACCTAACAAGTACAGCATTTAAGGAACTCTTTAAGAATGTCTTTCAGTTTATGATTCAAACATAATTCAAGAAAGCGGTTTCAGTTCTAATGTCAATGATAAGTAACACTGACACAGTAAAGCATATGCTAAACATCAACGATGTATGCTTTAAAACCACGGGATCCAACTTTTAAACACCTGAGGACTGGCACTGTCCAAACACTGACCAACAATTAACCATAGTGGTTGATATCAGACTTTCTCAACCTTAAGCCTGTGAAAAGTGGTTGGAAACCACTGCTTTAAAAAATATTTTGAGTTTTTTCCCCATTTCCAAAGATAAAGATAACCTTCCAAGTTTGTCTATGGCATCAATGATTTTATGATATAAAGCAGCTACATTTGGGAGCCACAAAAGTGGTGCTCAGGGATTGTTCCTTGGTTTGTGTTCAGAAATCTCTCCCAGTAGGGCTGGGGGAAAAATATGTGGTGCCAGGGATTGAACCCAGGTCATCTGCATAAAGGCAAGTTATATGTTATATGCTACCTTTCTGGCCCCAACGAAATTTTAGACTTCCAGGGGCTGGAGAGATAGCACAGCGGGTAGGGCGTCTTCCAAACCACTAGCTCAACAGTAACAGTGGATAGTTAGATCTTCTAAGACAAACTGAATAAATAAAGCTATATTTTAAAGTTTCTAAACCAAAGCTCAGGAACCTTTGCCACTCTCTAAAGTGCTAGAGTGGAGATATTTTAAGCTAGGGGAGCCACTCTGCCACTGTCCCACAAACGCAGTCATCTACAATCTAAATGGAGCATAAAACTGACACTTTAATCTGAATCTCATTTGATTTTCATATAACACCAATGATTTGTATTTTTTTTCTTCCAACTATTCTTGTCACCTGAGCATCAACAGGCGCTAGGTTGACAGCAATAAAAGTTCTAAAAGAAAAGTCATAAAGGGCTTGTCAGACAATATTCGGAGCAGTGTTTTACACTCACGAGCTACACAAGAGTTTAAGAATATTGGTTTGTGTGCATATTTTTATAGATATCTATATGTGCATCAAAAACACACTTAAATCAAATTCATTTAATTAAAAAAAGTGGGGAACTGAGAAATTTATTAGCTGAACCATTTCAAATGCTTTGGTGTTAGAGAGATCTGGATTTAAATCTTGGCCAGGGATATGGTTCCGTAGAAAAGCACTCTCCTTGCAAGCATGAGGCCCTGGGTTCAATTCCTGGCACTGTCAAAAATATAAGTAAATCTTGTCTCTGGCATTTTTCAGTTAATGACCACAAGTGGACAACTTAACCATGTAAATTCAGTCTGGTACTACAGACACAGCAGGCAGATTTTTAATCTTATTTCTCAAGAAAACAACTACAAAGAGTTTACTGGTTCTAGTAAATTCTAGGACCAGTAATTCAACTAGGATCAGATTTTTCAGTAAGGCTTAACTCCTGGTTCTAGAAAACTATTTTTGGCTCACCTACTCCATTTCATCATATAAAATTTTTTTCCACATGAAATATATTGTGTAATATTGTACATCCCTATATACCTTCTTTGTATATTTTCAAGGCTAGTTTTTGTCCATAGGTTGTTGATAAAAATGAGAGTAAAAGACATTCAGTTAGCACATTCTTCTTGTCTTTCCATAGAGTGAATTTAATTTGGGTGGCTCTTCCAACTTATCAATGACAGGCATATTATTTTCTCAGGGAAAAGTCCAGATGATTAAAAAAAAAATGGGGGGGGGGGAGTAAAGATTTCTTATGGCTTTATGTATAGATTGGTAACTAGACAATATGAAAGATAATGTTTGTGGGCTACTTGAAATATGACTGTGGATCATAAACTTCAGTCCAATGTTTTACTTACATTACATAGAATATTAGCACTATGTATGTGCTATTCTTTAATCATGAAAAATTTAGTGATAGTCATGAAATAAAATTTTCTTCAATAGTGTTTTTGAACAAGCATCAATTATGTTATAAATCTGCTAGTGCTGAAGCTAGCAAAATACTAATGCTATTAAAATATTAGTGTTTGGTTTTATTTTTAATTTTCTTTTAATCTATTATTTACAAAAATCCTTTTAAGATGAAGGCAGTTATTTTGCAACTGGTATATTTCTTCATATAAAATGATGTTCAGTGTGGGGTAATGGCAGATTTATAAATATGTACAAAAAAACTTTATTTGCAACCTACAACTCTGATTGGTAGGGTTATACATGAAGTATAATATGCACATAAAAGTTTGAAATTATAGTGAAACTTAAAAACTCTTAAGACACACAATCGTTGTTTATAAAATTATATGAAAAAAATAAAAAGCTTTGTGTTTGGGAACTAGTCATTTTAATGGAAAAAAATTCCCAAACACAAAACACAAACGCAAGGTTGATGTCTTGAATAAATGTTTGCTGACAGCTGCCCTGAAAACAAACTGACGAAAATAAATATACAATTTGTTCACTGAGCATAAAATATTGCACAAGAGCAGTTTATCTGAAGAAAATTCAATTTTCCATAGGTCTGAGCTTCAAAATGGTTCTCACATGTAGATCTAATTGTATTTTCTAAACAAGACACACTAATATTCAGTAATACTGTTAGATCCTTATTCCCGCCCCTCCCCAGTTAACCATACTCTTGCCTACTTTATGGCAATGGTTAAGTCAGTGGTGAAGATTTGGCAAAGATAAAAAGGCAGATAAAATAGTAAAATATATATATGTTCATATATATATATATTTACATATGAAACAGATGTCTTCCAAAAACCCTTAATCATAAGAGAGTTGATCCCTTGAACAAATCCAAATCCACAGTCTAGGTCACAGTGATGTCAGACAGTGGTTGAGTATGACTCTCTTCTTGAAGGCCACTCCTTCTGCACCACGGGGTCACTTTCTCTGGTCTCCAGCACACTGTCTTCTGGTTCGCTTCCACTGTCATCAGCAACCACAGGGTCCAAAGACACAGGGGCAGATTTTCTGTGCAAAGGAAAACCAACGCCACTTTCCCGCAAGGAGTTATCTATAAAATCTTCATCAGAGGAATGCAATGATTCATCATCTATTAAATGGTTGACAATGTGGATTCCATCAAAAGAGGGTTGTCCTGAGAAGCCCCTCTGGCCTTTCAGGCATCTGAGCTGTTAAAACAAAATCCGAATTAGTACACTCAACTGGGGAGATGCTAATCCATAAAGAGAGCAAACGTTTTGTGCTTAAGGAAGAGATACTTTGATCTTTTTTTCATTTACCGATATAACAGTCTACCAATTAAAGGCCCCCTATGTGCTATGTGCTTAATTAAATCAACAAATTGTACTGACTGGGTGGCTTTATTATCCTCATTTTGCAGATCAGGAAATGTAGACTCAGACTAACTTGCTTGAAACATTTGGCTGATGGTAAGGTTTGGATTCAAGTTGAACCTTCATTATGACAGAAATAATGTAACAGTTACAATGTACCATCATTTGTCTTCGACAGTATAGCATGGAAAACCTTATGTTATACCTCTCTCTTTTCTGGATCATTTTGAGACAGATCCTAGCCACTCTATCACCTCTATCACTTCATCCATAAGTCTTACAGGATATATCTCCTATCATAATAGATTTTAAAACCATACTCTTGAACTATCTTAAGAGCATGCTCTGAATGAAAATAATTTATAAATCACTGAAATTTGTTAACAATCCCCATTCTACTATTCATAGCCTAAGGTCCACACCATTGTCACTTAGGGTAGAATTTCTTTTCCCCACTATCAGTGTTTCCTTTGTGTGTCTGGAATGCTAGTTGCTAATACGTTTTTGCTAATACATCTTTCTCTACTCTTTCCCAGAAGGAAGTGACTTTTCTCATCAGGGAGAAAAGGAGAGAAATGGAATGTATTACTCAATTCCTTACTGCTCTCTCCGTCTTTGGGTCATTTCTCAGTTCCTGGAGTTTCACAGGGTCAGAACATCCTATAAGAAGGGCTGAGGAGAACAGCCTGTTAATACCACCAGTGACTGGAGGAGTAAGTCTGATGAATTTTATAGTTCCGTATTAAAAACCTTTTTGCTTTTTAATTTTAATAAGTCACATATTGCAAAATTAGCTTTATTAGAAGTAAAGATGATTCCATCATTTGCTAAAGGGGGTTCCAGTAAACCCACAGCTTTGCACATGAAGACATGAGCTCTACCATTTAAACCAAACCCCCGGCCATCAATCTTTCACTTTTCCACCTGAGTTTCCTCATAATCACTACCGTATAAATAATCATTTCCATTCTAAATAATTAAGAGCTGGTGTTTTTAAATATAACATTTATTTTACATGTTCTAAAGAGCTGTTTTTTTAAATATAAAATTTAGTTTTGATGTTGACTTAAGTTCTCCCATACACTATGAATCTTCTCCTACAACAAAGCAGAAGTGTTCAAAAGAAAAATCCACTTAAAAATACACAATGAACCAGCCAAATCTCCCTTGACTATCAAGACTTTTGATGAAATATACCCCATGCCTCTGACCCTTATTATTAGCAACCTTCAATTTTGTTTTTTGGGGACTAATTCCTGGACCCTTACTCAAGGCGATGTGAAATATTCAGGAAATATTACACGCACTTTCAAAATTAACGGTACTGCGGGGAGAGAGTCAGCTCTTGCCCTGACACCGCTCAGTCTTCCTAGGGGTTTCCAGGAATGAAGAAACCTCAATACTCCCCTGTTCGGTATATGAGAGAGGGAAAGAAAGGACGCAGGGACTCATCACAATGATGTCAGCAAACTTCATTCACAAAGAAATCCCTCTGCCCTGGAAAAGAACCAAACTACAATGAGGTGCAGTGCAATTCAAATAACACCTCTGATATTTAGCAGAGCAGAAGGGATCTAAACTCAGAGTTTGTGATCCTTAGGGAAAGGACACTGAGGTCCACAAAGACCTACCCGCAGTGGGTATCCCCACGGCAGTACTCCAACAGCCGTTCTCTGATGCAATATCCTATCACCTTATTGCAACACACAATTTATAGCTGAGTGTTCAATTAAGTCAGTTAATCTCTTCCTTTCTCTTTTTCTACCAGGCCCTCTTAAGAAATACCAGGGACTGGACGTGCCTTCCTTCTTCCTGGCTGCTAGAAAGGAGCCGGATGGCAGGAGAACCACCACTTCTCAGCTGTTTAGAATGCTGAAGCTTTCCTTTGCTCGAACAAAACCTACTTTACCGAAAACATCGCAGGCTCATCTTAGACTAACAAGTAACCTCAAACAAACTACAGATTAATGTCAAAAGGCATACAAGGAATGCCTCTTTATTTGATGGCTACTGAACCAAAAACAGCAGAAACATGGGAGAATGTTTTGGTGGAGAAAAACAGAGAAGGCAGGGATAAAAGTGGTGCTTCTCCTGGCTCAGGGGACCAAGAGGTGCTAGGGACTGAAATGGGGTCAGTAACAGGAAAGACACACACTGAAACTCCTGTGAGATTTCTCTGGCCCCCAGATATCTGCATCTTAAATAAGTATGCTTGATGATTCTGAAGAGAATGACTCATAGACATTTCAAGAAATTCTGCGGTAATTGGACTACATATAGGAATTGTTTTTATGTTAGTTATGTTAAGAAAACCTTCAATGGGTACATAAACTTGAACTTAAAGATTTCTTATTAATTCTCACTGCTACTATTACACTGGCCACTGTCATATTTTCTGCAATGCAATGGTCTTGGGGCCAGAGAGAGAGTACAGCAGTGAAGATGCTTGCCTTGCACTCAGCTGACCTGGGTTTGATCCCCAATGCATCTCCATGAGTGATTCCTGGGTACAGAACCAAAAGCAACTCCCAAGCACCTCTGGGTGTGGCCCAGAAACAAACAAACAAAAAAGCAATGGTCTAAATGTGGGATAGGGAAAATGGACTAAACACAGACTAGGGGAAAACCAACTAAAGGAAAAGAGCAAATCAAAACGAAGAGAACCACAAGGCTTGTAAACAATTTTTCAAACATAATCTATTCTTCGAGGGTTTAAGGACATATTCTCCACCTACTTTTAAATCTAGGACTCGTGGAGTAAATGTTTCATGGGATTCATCACAGAGGAACACCATTCAATCTCAGACACAGCAATGTCTCACACTATCTGAGAGAGATAGTGAGAGAGAGAGGGGGAGAGAGAGAGAGAGAGAGAGAGAGAGAAAGGAACACTATTCAATCTCAGACACAGCAATGTCTCACACTGTATCTGAGAGAGATAGTGTGTGAGAGAGAGAGAGAGAGAGAGAAAGAAAGAGAGAGAGAGAGAAAGGAACACTATTCAACCTCAGACACAGCAATGTCTCACACTGTATCTGAGAGATAGTGAGAGATAGTGAGAGAGAGAGAGAGAGAGAGAGAGAGAGAGAGAGAGAGAGAGAGAAAGGAACACTATTCAACCTCAGACACAGCAATGTCTCACACTGTATCTGAGAGAGATAGTGAGAAAGTGTGTGTGTGTGTGTGTGTGTGTGTGTCTGAGTGTGTGCGCACATAGAAAGCAGAGCCTTGCACCTTCACCTCCTATTAAACAAACTATTGCACTGTAGCACTGTCCTTCCATTGTTCATCAATTTTGCTCGAAGCGGGCAAGAGTAACGTCTCCATTATGAGACTTGTTACTGTTTTTGGCATATCGAATACACCCTCAGGCTCTGCTGTGAGGGTGGGATACTCTCAGTAGCTTGCCGGGATCTCTGAGAGGGACAGATGAATCGAACTCGGGTTGGCAGTGTGCAAGGCAAATGCCCTGCCTGCTGTGCTATGGCTCCAGTCAAACAAACTATTACGTTCAAATTTCATTCCTGCGTTTATAAGGTTTTGGAATTAATCCCTGATACCACACACATAATCTCCCATTATATTTAAAGAACTAAAAAAAGAAAGTAAAAAAAATAAAAATTAACCACAAATTAAAACATGGGGAGTGGATCTGAATAAAACATTTTTCAAGTAAAGTGTACAAATGGTAAATAAACATTCGAAACAATGCTTAGAATCAATAATCATGAAGAAATATAAGCCAAATCATGAGGTATCACCTCATGTTATTAGAAAAAACACAAGAACCAATAAATGGTGACAAGGATGTGGAAAAAGGAATTCTTGTGAATACTTGGGAATATAAGTTGGTGCAGGTTCTATGGAAAACAGTATATTTTTATGGAAAACAGTATGGTATTTCTTCAAAAGATTAAACACAGAACTACCGTATGATCCAGCAATTCCACTCGGTATTCATATGAAAAAAAATGAAAACATACATGCAACCTCAAGTTCATTGTGACCTTATCTACAATAGTTGTGGTATGGAAACAACCCATGTCCATAGATAGATGAATGAAGATGGTGTAGTATAAGGAGTTGTGCTGGTGGGCACAGGAGCGTGTGCATACTCATGTGTGCATGAGACAGACCTTTCTTAAGAGTAGAACTCTTTCTCCAGGTCTTTGTTTAGGTTCTGATTCCTCTCTGAATGACAGTTAAGTATAAATGTCCTTTCTTAAGTATCATACATATGAAAACTTCCATGAGAGAGATAAAGTGTGTGCTCAAAGTGTGGAGGCAAAATAGCTCAGGAAGTTTTGGGGGGAATGCTAAGAAGTTTAATAATAGACTGCTAGCAGGGGCAAAGGAGAGTAGCATGGAGAAGTTGTAAATGTAGAGTGTTCAGTCAAAGAGGTCAACCTGTCCAATATCAGGTCCCTATCTCTCCAGTCCCTTGACTTTTACTTAAAAAAAAGGAGTATTAATTGACTGAAGAGATAATACAGTGGGTAGGGGACTTGTCTTGCAAGTTGGCTGACCTGGGTTTAATCCCAGGCATCACATATTGTCCCCGAACCCTACCAGGCGTGACCTTGAAACTATTGGGTGTAGCTCAAAAACTAAAACAAAATAAAAGCAAAAATTAAAGTCAATTATCAGCAAACTTCATTTGGCTATTTTGATTATTTTTATATTAATGTCATCCAAACTGTCTCTAAATCATTTTGGAGGAGGATAAGATATAAATCTCAACACAAACATTTTCCACCATCTACATTATAAATGTCAGTTATCTGTTTAGTTATATTCTAAGAATAAGGACATCAATAAAAACCTCTCAAATGCTT